CATAATAGTGGAATTTTTACTAACGAAAAAAATACTATCAAAGTGCGAGTCGGACTCGCGCACTGAGAGTTCTTTATAAATTATAAGTGATATATATATATATATATATATATATATATATATATATATATATATATATATATATATTGTTTGTATATAATAAAAAATTCAAGGATTCCGGATTTTCCCCTTTACTTATGCTGAAAGACATTGCTTCTTACTAAATTTCATGATAATAAATTAATGGAAAGTACCCAATAGGTTTTACTTCTTGCAAATGTCATAATATACGTTATAAACGGCCGTATCTTTTAATTGCGTTAACTTAGAAATTTGATTTTATTATAACTTCAAGGAATTACAGACTTAAATCTTTAATATTAATTTTAGCTTGACACTTCCATGTTTTCCTGAGAAAAAGGATCTTGACAAACAGATAAATTGACGGACAACAAAATGATAAGGTTTCTGTTTTTCTTTAGCATAAGGAACTGTTAAACTGATATAAGGGGAATTATAATAAAAAGAACAGTAGAAGCCATAAACGATTATTTTTGAATTTTTTGTCTGTCTGTATGTTTATTCCAGCATCACACAAAAACTACTGTGCCAAGTACTTCTGAAAGCTACGCGTACGATGTAGTGTGTGCAAAGCTAGTATTACATAAAAAAATAACATAATTTATATTTTATTCCATTAATTGTATATTATTATTTAAAATGGCTACAAATTATGAACGATTCAATGTATAAATATAAATAGCCTGCTGTAGTTATTTGTGAGTCAAACTTTATATTATTCAGACATATCATTCATAAATTTCAAACAATTCAAACAAAATTCATTCCCACTACAAGTCCTGTCAAAACAAGAACCCAGTCGAAGTTATAAATAAAAAGGTTTCGTTCCATTTGATATTTAACTTAAATCACACACTGATTATAAAAATAACACTTTCGATATGAAATTATTTTGTTTATTTCAAAGCGATAATTAAATATATGATGGTCTGTCCAACAAGTTACCAAAACAATCAATTTAAGTTTCAAGTCAACTTCTGTATCACAATAAGCCTTTTAATAATAATTACTGTTAAACTTGTTATTAACTATCATATAAACTAATAAATACTAAATTAATCTTACTTTACTATACATAGTTTAATTATTAGTTACATTAATTATGAATAAACAAAAATATACATATATATCCATTATGACGAATTTAATAGAAATTAAGCACGATGATCTCCAGGGGGATCACATGGAGGTCAACTAGACAGAGTAGGTACGAGTATATAGACATACATAGCTAGCAATGGGGCAGGTAATAATTATTACAATTAATTAATTGACACTTTAATGGATCGATTAATCATCATAAAAATTAGCACATACATAATATACACGGATATACGATATATATATATATATAATATTTATTCTATATAATATATATATATATATTTATTACTATTTATTCTATTACATAGAAATTTTTAGTTTAAGCAGGTCATTCATTTTCTTGATAGTTATATGTTTATAAAATAAATTATTTAATTAAAACGCATAACTTATACATAATCTCGAATTCATAAACTTATTTCATTGACCCTGTATTACTTCAGAGTAATGGACTTAAGTCTCACGTAGGTAAAGCATGTCACCGCTAAGTATATGCGAATAACTTTGTTGAATAGTTGGTTACTTGTTAAACAAGTATAGTTTAATGTCTCTATAAAGGCAACTTAAATAACTACAAAGCTGAATCTAATCAACTTAATCGCTACTTTACTAGTGGTATCAAGAACATTAACGGGAACTTAAGACAATGGGGGTTAAAAGATTACTGACCAAGAATTAAGAAGCCCTGATCGCTATCTTCGAAATAGAAGGCCTTCTGGTCTGTGCTAGGTCAATTAAGGGGACTCTTTTAGGTGAAGTACTCGGCTATAAATCTGTCACTTGATGTTAACATTTATTTTATTATCGCTACAATACTACTAACAGCATATATGTGAATGTTTGTAAATATATTAGGGCATTTATTACTTGATCACGTTTTCGACTAAGTGGATTTGAGAATTTAATTTATAACACAAATGGAGCTTACCCTAGATTCTTTTCGATATAATTTATGTCAGAAATGTCACGGTATACAACTAGTACTTTATATTTGGATCATTCTTTGTGCACTTATTTTTAAAAAATAAATCAACTACATGGTCCTTATCCAAATATCTTTTGTTATGAACTTACATTTAAATAAAATAGGTTAAATGGTCGAGGGATGAACAACAGCGTCCCTCTTAATTTCCTTTTATTACATAGTAAAATATTGCTACAACAAATATATACTTAACATAATTGTTGATTTATTATTTCAAACAGGCTGAAATCAAATTTCAACGGAGCGTTGTACTTGTAATTTGAATTTTCTAAAGAGACATGCGCATAAAATTCCAGGTTACTATTTAAGATTAAAATTCTAATGCAATAAGAATATACGTGCGTAGTTTGTTTATTGGCCACCACTTGACATCTTGACGGCTCAATCATTTGTTACAAAATTTGAAGTGTATAAAGAATTTATTTTTATTGCTGCGTGGTCCCGGCATAAAATGGGCCACTCCTTCCTTTCCCGTGAGTATCGTAAGAGGCGACTAAGGGAACTTAATGATCGAGAGATGGACAGCAGTCTTTCCTCATAAAAAATCATCAATGGCTAACTGCGGTTGCCAACCCGACTATCAAGCGTGACAACTACTGACAAAAGCTCACTTACAAGGGAGGCCTATGTTCAACAGTAGACCTTTAATGGCTGATGTAGTAAGTTATGTACATACATTTACACGACATATTATATTGTGTTGTATAAGTACTGTGTGCCTATATTTTTGTATATATTGCACTGAACTATGTGTATAGGTACGAAAGGCACACGAGTGCTCTGTGTATATCTTGTACATGTATATTTGTTCAAACTTTGAATCTAAACTACGAGTACTTTATTATTTCAGTTTCTATTTTGTAACGGTTAAAATGTAAAAGTACTGAATATATTCACTATTTTTATCAGGAATAAAAGAAGATGTAAATAAAATTAAACCTATGCGAACATAATTAATAATCACAATATTTAAAAAATAATATGTATAAAAAGAAAAATGTTTCTTACAATGATGTTAAGGCAAGACAATCCTTTCTACATGATTTCCTGTATGCAAAAATTCAAGTTACTCAGCGAGTTATGGAGAGCGATATGCTCGGAATTTCTTTACGTGATAGAATTCGAAATGAGCATATCCGTTGAAGAATCAAAATGGCCGACATAGCCGAAAGAATAAACTAGCTGCAGTAACAATGGGCTGGTCATATAGCTTAAAGAAATGAAAATGGATGGAGAGATTCTTGAGTGGCGGCTGCGTAGGGGTAAATGCAGCGCAGGATGACCTCCCACTACATGAAGCGACGACCTCAAATGCATTGCAGAGAGTCAGTGGATGCAGAAGGCTCAGGATCGTTCGTTATGGCAGTCTATGAGGGAGCTATATGTTTTACATTTGATAGATAAACACTTATATGATGATAAAGAAAGGCAAGACAATGATTTAGAAATGTTATATAATATAATTTATATCATATAAACATCAAAAGACTAGAAATAAATTTCTACATAAAAATAACTAATATAATTAATTTTCATCATAAAAATATAAGGCAACGAATGGTATATACAATATGCGTAAATAGAAATTCCTGTAACCCCGACCCAAATACGGTTAGGTTGCCCTGTAATACAAAAACAAAGACGGTATTCCCAAAAAGCCGAGCTTCGCCGACCTTTTTTATAAAATATACCGTATTTTGAGATTACACTCAGAAATATTCTAAGGCATAACATAAGGGTAAGTATTTGATCCTTGTTTATTAATAACTGATATCAGTACCATACATATGTCAGTAATAATTGATTTTTTTTTTGTCATCTGTAATCTCATCACATTATGGAATAATTAAATTATTTTTTTTAAATAAACTATTGATATTCAATTTACCCATGCATACAATCTATCCATGCTATAGAACATATTAGAAAAGAATTTTAGGAATCAAAAATTGAAAAATTACGTAAATTATGGGTATTCATAAAATCGACAAATCTTTCCTAAACCTATTCTAGTTATTGAATTTTGTCCCATTTTTGCGTTCAATTCTTAACTTGAAAGAAAGTGATAAAACACTTCAATAGCTAAAATAGGTTTGGTACAGGTTTTAGTTTTTATGAATAAGGGGTTAAGTGTGGGAGGCATATTTTTTATCATTTATTGACCCATGTTCCTTTAGGAAAATATTTAGTTTCACTGTCAAAATACCTCCCTAAAAGGAAAGTAATGATTTCAGGTTTTACTTTGTATAAAGAATATATAAAAATAGTTTTAAGCTCACAAAACAATATCTTTTCAAAAGCTATGAAACGCGCAAGTTCGAAAAACTCTCGTATCTTTGATGAACGACTTCCTCGCAAGGTGCTCGCCAAATAAATCTAGGTCACAGGAAATTTTGCTATAACCCTATAACTTATGCAGGTGTACCATAGATTCAACCGTATATAGATATGGTTTAAAGTTCCTCTTGCGCAGGTCATGCGCAATCTGCTGCCATGCGATTCTGAACCTTGAATACGCAACCTAAACTTTTCATATAACTTTGGCATATAAACGTAAATTCCGGAATCCTAACGCTTTTTGATTACAAATTATAATCTCGTAAAAAAGTCGTAACTAAGTTATTATTATTAACAACTAATTATTACCATACATTTTATTCAATATATTACTACATATACAAAACAGTATGATAAAAGTAATAGTTAAGAACACATTTCTTGGAAGGAAATGTAAATAGATAGAAACAAAAACATAAAAGCTTTACTACAAAACAAGCGTAAAGAACACAAGAAATTGTTTGTTTATTCGGAACTACGGCCTATTTCCTACCACTCAACGGGTTGGGCGCGGCGATGCGGTTAGAAAAACACGATGCCATTTATCATGTGGTACACGATCACTGCCGGCACCTGTAGCGTTCGCTTTTTGCTACATACCGCGCGTTCGTAGCGGCAGCGGGAGCGGTAGATCGCGTAGCTGGCGTCACGGCAGCGTCTAAGGGTATACTGACGCCCCGCCCGCCCGCGCGCCGCCATCGACCGTCGCGGCGGCGGCGTCGCTCGCTCCCCGTTCTACAAGTGCGACAAAACGCCTTGTTACTCGCGAGACAATTAATAGAACAGAGCCTTTTTCGTCGATTGCCACTCGTCCGTCAAATTCGCTTTGCCCTCGAATGAAGCCGTGTTTGTTCTTAAACATTCAGTTATTTGCTCGTTTTATGCAGTCAATGCTCTGGAAAATTAAGTAAACAAAATTTTAATAGGTTTCGATGAGTATCCTCGTTGATTTCTTACAAGATTTGGGTAAATGTTGATTCGAGAATTTTCTGCATTTATGGATGAGAATTAACTAATGAGTACTTTTTTTTTATTTTCAACCACTTCTGTTCTAATTGTGCAGTTATTTAAAACAATTATTTTTAATTGGAATAAAAAAGTAAGTGGTTTTTTAGTCTGAACATATTTTTATATCTTTATATTACACGACATTTTAATTAATTGGAAACTTGTTGAAATTAATTTTATAAGAATTACTGTTACATAGATAAATTAACAAATGTAAAAAAATAATGTTGCTATTAGAGAGAAATATTAAGGTATTAAAGTTAATGCCAAACATCATATCTTTTTTTTGACATGTATCCAAAACATTCGAATCTATGCACGCTCTGAAATTAATATTAAAAAAAAATCACATCACTCACGAAATAAATTTTCATTAAATTTAACTTTGTTATCAAGAACGTTACAAAGTGATTGTGCTGCCATGTTTCGCTCTTTAGTTAAATTTAGATTCAACCAAAAATGAATACGTAAGATCTCCAATAATTAACATGTCACTCTTATAATGTAGCTATATTATTTATATCTAGAATAAGTTTACTGTTGTAATCTTTTGGAGGAAACAATAAAAAGTATCTATCTATAATTATAACTATATAATTATAATTGGATTATATAATCTATTTCAATAGAACTTAATAAGAAGATGGAAAGTTTTTGTTGATATTATAACAAAAAAACTTTTTAAAATTATATTAGTAACAAGACAAAACTATAAATTTTACTTCATAAGAGGCGAGAATTAACGCGGCCAGTTATATAAAATATTAAATATATTGTAAAAATATATTACTAAAATAGTTATTTTTTTTTATATTACTGAGGCTACCTCAGCTAGCTCAGCAAATTAACAAGCATACGGTCTACCTGATAGTAAACAGTTACCAGGGGCATTACGTGCGCATTACCGATCCTGAAGAAACCTCTTTACCCTTTTTTTAAGAAAACCCATGTTGTAGTCTTCCGTAAAAACCTTGACAAGAAGCTCATTCTATAACCTAAGTGTTCGTGGAAGGAAACATCTCTAAAACCGCGCTTTACGCGACCATTTAAGTTCTAAGATATGGAGAGGTGACATGATAGGAAATTATTTACCGTAGTATAAATAAGTAACACAATATAAACCGAATATACAAGCGCAGAAAGTGGGATAGGTGGCATAAATAATACAGGTGCCAAAGGATTGTGGTTTTTCGACGTACGTCAAACTAAATGAAATGTTGGTCAGAAATAAAGAAAATAAAAAACGCTAAAGAAAGAAAGTATGGAAGGTAACTATAAAAGGAATGTAAGGAAATGGCAGGAAAGTCATAAAAGAAAAGTTGCTAAATAATAACCAAGGTAAACAACCTGAAATTTGATATCCGGGGGAAAGCGCACTCCTCAGGGGGAGCCATATAAAACAAAAGGTGTGGGGATAAACTCCGTTGATAGCGAGCTATTCGATGGTAAAAGAGGCCGTGGGAATCATATTGAACAATCACTCTGAGCACATCCGTTGTACAAGCGGTAAGAGTGAGGCAAAATCTCTCCTAAAGTTTAGGAATTCAATACCACTTGTAAGCTTGGGATCATCAATAACTCTCGTCGCCGTATTGAGTTGAAGGGTTCAAGCTGGTATCTAGGTGCTCCCGCCCATAAGTAACAGAAATACTCAATGTAGGGCCGATTTCCATGCTGCTAAATTGGGGGATTCTCTTTACTCAATCAATCAATCCCTAAATACTTTTAAGAGAAGACTTTAAACAGCACATTCTTCCTTACTAACATATTTTATTTATTTGTATTTGTGTATATGTACAATGTGATATAATTGTAAATATGATATAATTGGTTATGTATATACTTAAATTTTTCTAGTTCTTTTTGTCACAATATCGTATATCGCTCTACCCGCTGACATTGATATATGTAAGTACAAGACTTGGCTGGTTCTCGAAAGCGACGGAGTTAGGCTCTACTGGGGTCGATCCATCATCACGGACAGAACAGTTCTTGAGAACAAACCTGATATCGTGGTGATGGATTGGGTACTCTGGGGGTTTTTGAAGGATGTCACCATATCGCATGAGAAGCATTGTGAAAGCCGAAATCGAGAGGAAGAGAAAATATCTCGATGACCTAAATATGGGGAGTTACATCCACCTAAATCATATCAATCGTTCTGTCGATGAACGGTCTTACCAGTTTGGAACATCACCTCAGACGGTTAGGATTTCAAAGCGGCGCTCTTGGATACTGCCCGTATAATACACCGGCTTCTCTCCCTGGGGAGAACTGAATTCCGGCCGATAGTGCTATTGCCGTATGTTATTTTGCCTTCTTCTTCCCTTAAGAGGGGATATGTGAATTTTGTTTAAAATAATAATAACATTGTTTAAATATTTATTAAGTTCTATTGAAATGGACTACACACATTTATTCGGTTCGGTATTTATTGGGTTCGAAATCGGCGTGTTATAAAAAGTGAGAGACGAGTTATAAATAGACAAGAAAATATAAGAAAAGAAGAAACCTTTGGCACTCTATTCGCATAGATTCTTTAATTTCATTCTTTCATTCTTTGGCATTTGATTCTATCTGCTTAATCTTCAAAAAACTTTATGTGGAGGTATATATGTATGTAACTGACAAAACAATCTGCTATTTGCAACTACTTACAAAACCTTTCATTCGATCCGACAAACTGGGTACTAATTGAATAAATATGTTTCCACTACTCGTAACAATCGGTATAAATGAAACGTAGCTATTATCACGTGTGAAAGAGAAATTTTCACATTTTACAGAAATTTCTCAGCGAACAAGACGTGGGAGACGTTTCACAACAATAAAATTTCTCATGCTGTAAACTGAAAGTAGACGAGGAGGGGGCGATTAAAATTTTGACTTTGATTAAAAAGACATAGTGGAGGATTATGGTATTCGGTCTTCTGTATAATCTGCCGTAGCGTATGTATGTGGTCTATGGCGTAAAAGCCCTTTCAGTAGCCAGCTAATCCGGGCGGCTGGAAGTCGTCAAGTTTGCGACGACGATCGGTCAGGACTCTTGAAAACAATACATGGACGCGATTCAGAAAGGATATCGCTCTATAGTTCCTCAATAGGATATTGTCACCTTTCTTGAAGAACAAGACTACTGCACTCCTACTCCAAGCCTCGGGCGTAACACCATAATGGATAACTTTTTACTAAAATTATTATAATAATAATATTAGTAAAAATTAAGAATTCTTCCTGAAAAAGATTTCCGGATGAAGTCAAAACAGTTGTCGGAGACGACAAACAGAAATTTATAAAATTCACGTTATACAACGAAGCGAACAAGAACCTTTTGATACTGGCGAGTGACACACATGAGTATTTTCATAAAAACAACAGATACATCGTAAACACATACGCGATGTCACATTCATTCTTTCATATACATAATACACATTAAATATGAGACATACTGATTGTTAAGGTTACATTAGATTGATAATATAAACAAAATTTGTAACAAATTGTATATACATTTTGAACTAAAGTATCAGTATCACTTGATCTTTTCTTTTTTTACAACACAGGGGCAAACGAGCATGCGGCTCACCTGATGCTAAGTGACTACCGACTAAACTATTAATAATTGTTTAATTACTAAGCAGCAAGTAATGACTGTTAATGCCACAATAAATTTAAAAAATCAATCATAAATTAGAATGGTTTAAATAATAATGAAAAACGGTCATCCACCGTGCATTTTTCAAGGCACTTTCTTCCACGTACACTTCTCTTTGGAATCAACTTCAGCAACATTTCCGAACCGATATGTACCGATGTATACCGATTCATCATAACCTTGAAGAAAAGAGCATATTCTTTTTTTTTATACAACTTAGAATAGCAAACAAGCTGACAGCCTACCTGATGGAAAGTGGTAACCGTCGCCTATAGACATGAGCAGTACCATGAACATAACAGAGTATACAGTTTCGCCCATGATACCCCCCATGCGTTGCCATTCCTGAGGACTCAGGTGTTATTCCTCTGTACCCAGTAAATTCACGCCATATCCCACCCTTCAAACTGAAACACAGCCATGCAAACACAACTGCTTCACGGTAAAAACACGAATGGCTTTTTAAAAGGCCGGCAGCACACCTGCAATGCCGTTGGTGTTGTGGATGATCATGTAGGCGGCGGTAGTCACTTACTATCAGGTATGCCGCATGCTCGTTTGCCCCCTAAGTTGTAAAAAAAATAATTTAAATGTATTCCATTAAAAACTGTTATCTCATGGAACATATACAATAGTACATTAAAATTAAATTGGAGTTGGCGATTATATTACGAAACGTACAGAAAAAATACCGTAGATCGGTTTTATTGATTTTGTTCTATCTGAAACGGACGAACTATCTGCTAATTGCATAAATTTATTTTCACTTCTCGTAGCAGTTGCAAGGAATGGAGCATAATGGCTTTCACTAAAGGCGGCTATTTTGTCCGCAGAGAATATGTATTTTTTTTAACTAGGATACCTTGTATAAGGAATCAGGCAACAAGTAATTGGAGGTATGGCCCAAAACAACTAGTCCTAAGTTTACAGAAGAGTTTGTTTCCTAAATTGGCTTGACCGGGAAGCGGCATGTATAACATTGTCGTCAATTTTCCAATATAACATTGTTTTTTTAAGCTTTTAAGCCTGCCGGAGGAC